CGTGCGCATGCATTTAGAGTGCATTCTTTCACTGCATGATTCATTAAAATGCATTTAGAATGATCACAAATTCAAGACATTTTTACCACTTCTTATAGTTAATCAGTTTCACATGAAGAGTGCCGTTTTTCTCCAAAAAATGGCCATGATTACAATTGTGATATTGATTTGTTTTACAACAGTTCAATAAACTGGAAGTTAATTAAGAAACTTATGTTTTAGACGCCATATTTCCTGTTTTTGCGTTATTTCTACAACAAAAATAATTCCAAACACAGCCACAATGCTGTTTTGTGTCTCTGAGCAACATGACGGTGTTTTGCTCCTGAATGAATCAACCGTTTAAATGATTCGGTTCAATCGCAACTCATTAACAGTGACTTGCTGCCACCTACTGGTGGTTTTAATTTCACATTTATTTAATTGATAATTTCAAATATCAGTATTCAACGTTTTATGTTTAATATATCAAAACATTATTTATGCATTTGTAACTGCAGGTTAAATGCATTCATGTTCTGCATTAAACAGTGAGTAAATTTAATGCATCTAAATGCCTCTTCTGTGTTTCCTCTGCATTGCAAAGATGAATTGATACTGATTTAATTTACTTGGTAACAGCCCAAATGTCGTCTTATTCTAATTCACTGATTAAATGTAAGAATTTGACTCAAAAGATAATGCACACTTTTAGAGAAAATGACTTTATAAGGGTAAAAATGCCCATAAATGTAAAAATCAGTTTAAACTTATTGGAAAAGATTAATTTCTATCAGTGTGAACTGACCACCACAAAGAATATGAAAAACATTAGGAGTCAGCTGTCCACGGTAGTCCTAAAGATACCAGCACAATAACACACTCCGCAAAATATTGCCTAATTATCGTTATCGATAAAATCCCAGAAAATATCGAGATATTATTTTTTGTCAATATTGCACACCCCTATGTATTGCACAGGACAAATGTTGTGATGTTGCATAACATTGTCGAAACAGTGGCGCAATGAAAGCAAATATTATCAAATCTAAAAGTGGCCCAAAAAATGGTGGCTAAATATTGGTGTGTGCAACCTTTTTTGGACAGGCCCATCCCAAAGACTTTTAATAGGGTTAAGGCCCCAGGACTCTGTGGCGGCCAATCTTTCACAGATTGAGGCTGATGAATCTTGACATTGTCATCCTGAAATATGTCCATAGTGACATATTAATCACTGTAAGAATGATCCAATCCTAAAATCTTAAGTATTTGCTCATTTAAATTCAGACGGCAACTTTTTTTGGCCAGGTAGTGTATTAATACTTTAATATCCTAATGATATTTGTCATAAAAGAAAAATCGATCATTTTGACCCATACAATGTATTTTTGGCTATTGCTACAAATATACCCCAGCGACTTAAGACTGCTTTTGTGCTCCAGGGTCACATATGAGGAATGCATTAAAAATACCGCAGCACTCCGGATTCTGTCTCATCCTAAATGAAATGTCTTGGCTTCATCAGGTTGGGCCGTGCCTCCAGACAGCCGCTACGTGACGCTCACTGGGACCATCACTCGCGGAAGGAAGAAAGGTCAGATGGTGGACATTCACGTCACGCTCACAGAGAGAGAGCTGCAAGAGATGGCCAGGTCAAAGGAGCGTCTGGATGCCGAATGTGACGCTCGCGAGGGATCGAGCCGCTCGTGCGGTTTTGGGCTTTCTCAGGGTCCCCATGTCGTCCTGTGGAGCCTCTCCTGCGCTCCCGTCGTCTTCGTCCTGTCCTTCATCACCTCGTTTTACTACGGTACTCTCACTTGGTACAATATATTCCTGGTGTACAATGAGGAGCGGACGTTCTGCCATAAAATCACGGTCTGCCCGTTCCTCATCATCTTCTACCCCGGGCTCATCGTGGCTCTGTCGCTGTCGCTGGGCTTGTACTCGGCCGTGGCGCAGGTGTCCTGGGCCTTCAGCGAATGGTGGCTGTCGGTCAGGGACCTGGAGAAGGGTTTCTGCGGATGGGCTTGTGGGAAGCTCGGATTGGAGGACTGCTCTCCGTACAGCGTGGTCGAGCTGCTGGACTCGGACACCATTTCTGGGAGTCTGCAGGGAAAGTCGCTGCAAACATCCTCGGTGTGAATAGAAATCATCCCGAGATTTTCTCTGATGGTTACACAGCCCTGCATCTTCTGCAAAAAATGCCTAGAATTGAGTTCAAAATGATAAACAAAAACTTTCCACCATATAGTTTTTTTTCTCTCCACAAAATAGGGATGATTTTTCAAATGTTTCCGTTTTAAATGAATAGTTCTCCCAGAAATGAAAATTTTCTGAAAATGTACTCACCATCAGATTTGGAGAAATGTAGCATTGCATCAGTGTCTCAGCAATGGATGCTCTGCAGTGAATGGGTGCCGTCAGAATGAGAGTCCAAACAGCTGATAAAAACATCACAATAATCCACAGCACTCCAGTCCATCAGTGAACATCTGGAGAAGACAAAAGGAGGTTTTGCTTTAAACCAGTGGTCTCAAACTCAATTCCTGGAGGGCCACAGCTCTGCAGAGTTTAGCTGGATCAGGTGTGTTTGATTAGGGTTGGAGCTAAACTGTGCAGAGCTGTGGCCAATGCTTTAAACCGTCGCTTTTGGCTAAAATACGAGTTCATAATCCATAATAACTACTTCTTCCAGTGAAAATGTCCTTCTCCTGTCGTCTCTCACATCAAAATCCAGCCACATGTTTGTTTAGAGCTGTTTTGGCTTGTAAACGGTGCTTGATCTGAGCAGATTTCTCTCCTGATTCAGACCAAAATGTTTTTCATTGGAGGAAGCATTATTATGGATTATGGACTTGTATTTTATCCAGAAGCAGCAGTTTGAAGTTAAATCCTCTTAATGATTGATTTTATTTTTTAAATCCTTCTTATTCCTTTAATAACAAAATGAATGCTTCAGGATGTATTGTTTAACTTACAATCTGCAAAGGATTGTAAAAAAATGTTTAAATAGTCAATTTAATGGCAAAGAACTTTTACAAAATAAGTATATAATCTGTCATTTTCTGTGGCTGTTGGGTGTAGTTAAACACTTATCTAGATGTAGCAACATCTGGGTCGTGTTTGCATTTCTCTCTAGCTATAATTCTATTAATTCTATCTGCCTTGAAATCAGGATTAGGCGGAAAATAATGTCATGCATCTAAAAAAATAAATAAATAAATGGGCTGAGAATTGAACAAATAGTTGTAATTGGGCTCAGTGGAGGACAGGAATCATGTGTTTGTGCATTACAAATGTTTGGATTTCATCCAGCAAATTTAATGCAGGGTGGTGTTATTGGTCCTGGGCCAAACTTTTATTTTGTTCTTCTTATTTAGTCTCTTGCTTACCAAAAAGATTTTTTTTTTTTTTTTTTACAGTTTCCTGTTTTCATATCATAAGGCATTCATTCTTTCATACGCAGTAGATTTAAAATATTTATTCTTTGCTATTGTTTATTGGCACTTGGCAGGTATTCATTTTGGATCCCGGGCCAAACTCTAATTTGTTTAACTTATTTAGTCTCTTGCTCACCAACAAAGTTGTTGTTTTTAACTGCATTTTTTCATATCGTATGTCAGACATTTTACTTTCATAAGACGTGTATTTAAACTATTTATTCTTTGCTCTTTTATTGTATTTATTTGAACAGTTTGCATGTTTTATTTGTATTACATTTTGTTCTGTAAAGCAGATGGGAGGAGAAAAGGCTTTTCCTAACCCCCTGTAAAATGAAGCCATATATAATCATATGCAAATGAACTGTGAGATTGTGAGAAGCCCTGTGTATTCTGTGAGTAGTTTTATTTATGACGAGCCCCAGAGAGAATTTAATAAACAAACACAAAAGGGGCAAATGATGTGCAGAATGTTGTGAGTGTGTGTGTGTATATATGGGGGCTGGCAATTATTCCAATATTATATTTATAACCAGTACAAAGATTGTGTCTTGGGCATCAAAAGAACATCTTAAAACACTGCATATCAAATGCATTATGAGAAAATTATTGGTTGGTTAGTATATTTTTCATCAGTGGTTTACATTTGTCTTTGATTTAATCGTTTGAACTTACAGTTTGTATTTATATTGTGCAGTGATGCTCAAAAGAGATAATAAAATTCATATTCCTGTATCTTCATGTCTGGTTTGTGTGTCTGTTGTGATCTACAAAACAAAACATGTTGAACATCCGTTGCAGAATTGATAATGTAGGAATTTCACAGATTACTTACAACTAACTGGCTGAAAAACGTATTGTAGGAAAGTCATAATAAAAATATGTTTTTCCTTTCGCTTGCTCACCGGGTTTATTAACCCTCTGATGCATGAAAATATATATATATATATATATACAACAAGGACATCATCTTTTTTTTTAAATATGTGACATTAACATCTATGTAATCCATAGCCAGTTTCTGAACCTAAAATAAATGCTTTGATAAAACATGATCTCTCCAGATGTATCCGTTCAGTTTTTGTCTTTATAAAGTCATGCACAATGATCACATCTCATTTGAATGCATGCATGTGCGTCCATCCATGTGATGTGATGTGATTATCATACTTAAGAAATCCATATCCAGTCATAACACAATCTGACAGATTATAACTGGACAGGCCTATATGAGGATTTCTATAAACACGTTTGACCTACACTGAACATGTTTCATCTTGTGTAAGAAAAGTCCTTCTACTGACAACGTCTTTATGTCTTTTTAGAGATATCTGCAGTGTTCATTGATAAGTGCCACTGAATATTACAAACTGTTTGCTATTCACTTTAATGTAATTTTGCATGATCTCTGAGGGCTTCACTTTTACAGGTTGAGGCCAATCACGACACCGTTTGCGTCTTCACGCTATGTTTAAATGATATGAAATCATTTATCAAGTGTCCTGGCATAAGGGAACACAAAGTTTTGGGGGTTTTAAATCGTTTTGTTTCTCTGTCTGAGGCGGAACCTTGTATCATGCGCTCATTTACTCACCCGGAACAATAACAGACGGAAACCAGAGAGAGAGAGAGATGGCGCGAGCAGCGAAGGTACTTCCGTTATTATTCGTTGATCATAAGCATGTATTATTATTATTGATAATAAATTATGCGTGTTTACTTTTATACTACTTAAATTTCATTGGGCATAATTAACTTTTTGGTCGGTATTTACACACTGTAGAAAGTTTCACTCGCTCTCGTTGAAATCTTTTTTTTGTCATGCTTGAGTTATTATTAAAGTATCTTTGAGTATCACTGAATGTGCAGCTTTATCTCAAATGTGTTCCCCATAGAAATAAAAAAAAAAAACAGGTTTTATACGTTTGAATAATGCAATTGCTGTCGTACAGAAAGAGTTCATACTGTGTCTCAAATGCAATTGTTTTTTTTAATTGCAAACTTTAGTATCCTCTGTATAAAATCTGAGCACGTTTTGAGACTTTTTCTGAGTCTAGAGACGAGACACATGTGAGATCACTGTCTTTTTCTCTTTTTGAGAAAACAAGACTTAACTAAACGTCTCCCATTTAATCTCATTGCTGTCTAAGACATGTTTAAGATCTCATGTGTGACCCTGGACCACAAAACCAAGCTGGTCAACCATCTGGAAGCTGAATAAATAAGCTCTCCATTGATGTATGGTTTGTTAGGATCGGACAATATTTGGCTGAGATACAACTATTTGAAAATCTGGAATCTGAGCGTGCAAAAAAATCTAAATATTGAGAAAATCATCTTTAAAGTTGTCCAAATGAAGTTCTTAGCAATGCATATTACTAATAAAAATATATATTTACAGTAGGAAATGTACAAAATATCTTCATGGAACATGATCTTAATATCCTAATGATTTTTGGCATAAAAGAAAAATCGATAATTTTGACCCATACAATGTATTTTTGGTTATTGCTACAAATATCCCCCAGCGACTTAACACTGCTTTTGTGCTCCAGGGTCACATATTTGTTGTTTTTGATAAATGAATCAAAATCATGTTCACGTTCATTAGCATTCATGATCTAGTATTTAAAGAAATAGTTCTTCCAAAAATGAGACGTCTGTCGTTACGCACTTCATGTCGTTCCAAACCCCCGTGATGTTATTTTTTGTAACACAGAGAAATGTGAGACTAGTCTCTAAAGCAGTGTTTCTCAACCAGGGGTCCGTGGACCCCTAGTGGTCCTTGACGTAAGGCCAGGGGGTCTGTATAAAGTATACATTTGTGTATACATTTTGTATATTTTGACATGACACGTTCCCATGAAAGAAAAATCCAATATAGCTGATGATATGGCCAAATACTGGACAAGTCAGCTAACTTGAATTATACTTGACTGCTCACAAAGACAAGTATACACAAATGATACATAGATGAGTAAATTGTGTTCTGGGGGTCCTTGAGGATGGTTCTGAATTGGACTGGGGTCTGGTACGCCAAAAGGTTGAAATTCACTGCTCTAAAGAGTTATTTTCCTACATCTGTTTTTGTCTTTTATTCTATTCCTGCAGTCAGCGTTGGTGCTTTGCATGGATGTGGGTTTCTCCATGAGCAACTCTGAGCCTGGCCAGGAACCGTCCTTCGAACAGGCCAAAAAAGTCATCCAGAAGTTTGTCCAGCGGCAGGTTTGTACTCTTTCTCCCATTAAAGGGATAGTTCACCCAAAAATGAAAATGTGATGTTCATCTGCTTACCCCCAGGGCATCCAAGATGTAGGTGACTTTGTTTCTTCATTAGAACACATTTGATGATTTTTAAGTCCAGCCGTTGCAGTCTGTCAGTCGTATAAGCATGGCAATGGTAACAAAATCTATGAGAGTAAAAAAAACATGCACAGACAAATCCAAATTAAACGCTGCGGCTCGTGACGACACATTGATGTCCTAAGACACGAAACGATCGGTTTGTGCCAGAAACCGAACAGTATTTATATAATTTTTTACCTCTGATTCACCACTATGTCCAACTGACTTTGTGCGCGCACACGGCATCCGGTGCGTGAGGTGTGTAAGCGCTCTGGCGTAGTTTACGTTAATGGGTGTTGATATCCAGCCGAAGAGCAATCAAGCATAACTTCAGGCGAGCAGGCTCAGAAGTTAGGAATACGTGGAAAGTCACCACTCCCGAATGAGTTCGCGCGAGAGAACGTAATCTTTTAGTTTTAAGTCGGTTTGAACAATC